CCAGGGAGCCCGATGCGGGGCTCGATCCCAGGACCCTGGGATCATGACCTGAGCCGAAGGCAGACGCCCAACGACTGAGCCACCCAGGCGCCACCTAAACTTCATTTATTTAAACCAACTTTATTTTGAATGTTTTCAGTTACATCTAAAATAATTTTTAGTCCTTGAGATGTTACACTACCAGGATGGTGAATCAGGTACTAATATTGTTATTTATGAGTAAAATGAAACTAGTTTATTTTTACTTACTTTTAGTTTTTTAAAAGATTTTTTATTTACTTATTTGTCAGAGAGAGAGGGAGAATGAGAGCGCACAAGCAGGGGGAGTGGCAGGCAGAGGGAGAGGGAGAAGCAGGCTTCCCGCTGAGCAAGGAGCCCGATGCGGGACTCGATCCCAGGACCCTAGGATCATGACTTGAGCTGAAGGCAGATGCCCAACTGACTGAGCCACCCAGGCGTCCCAATGAAACTAGTTTAATTAAAGAAATGAAAATTCTCCCTCCACTCAAATTCTAAACACAGGCAACGGAGCCCCAAATACAGGAAAATCTCTCCAAAAAAATAAACTTTTAACCTTCATTCCTTGTGGCTGTAACATAGTTGAACCATTCTTTTACACTTGCTACTCCATGGGGTGGATTTTCATGGCGACGCCTTGTTATTTTGGTTATTGTTGCCATAGGACTTTCCAAAGCACCACATGGTTTGGTAACCATGGTATTATGGCCCAGATGAAAATCCAACGTTTGTACAATGTATGTAGAATGATCACTAGAGCCTAGAAGGAAAAAAAAAAGTTTCTTGATGTTAACAAACTATATTTAGATGCAAGAAGATAGTTGTGGCTCTAGAGCAATAGATTTAGTTAACTCATACATAGATAAGGATATAAAAAAGTGAGAAGTCAGAAAAAAATCATAAATAGTTTTTCTTTCTTTTAGTTATAACTGGATTTATCCCTGGTGATGAGCATCATCATTTTTTTCAAGATAATGAGCATCAACCATTTTTTCCCTTCATCATAAGAAATCACAGCTTAGGAAATTATAACTAAAAGGAAGGAGGTTTATCACTGTAAATAGAGGTAAAAGCACAACCTTACCGATAAAAGTTTTATAATTTAGTCTTATTTCCTTAAACTACCACCATGTGTCTTTTATGTTTTTATAATATTTATAATAACTATTATTACAACTGGCCAGCCACAGCAGCAGAAACTTTAATTGCCTAAGAAACAGAGTAAGACGGTGGCAAGTTCAGAAGTAAGTCCTTTAACATGCTCCAGACTTTATAGATATTGACTCACTGGCAATGAACTCCTTGACATGTCAAGTACATGAGAACAAATGGAGTTGGACTTCAGAAATATAACAAAGAAATAAGTCAAACAGAGAAAGACATGTATCATATGACCTCACTGATATGAGGAATTCTTAATCTCAGGAAACAAACTGAGCATTGCTGGAGTGGGGGGTGGGGGGGATGGATGGGGTGGCTGGGTGATAGACATTGGGGAGGGTATGTGCAATGGTGAGTGCTGTGAATCGTGTAAGACTGTTGAATCTCAGATCTGTACCTCTGAAACAAATAATGCAATATATCTTAAGAAAAAAAAAAAGAAGATGAAGATAGTAGGAGGGGAAGAATGAAGGGGGGGAAATCGGAGGGGGAGATGAACCATGAGAGACGATGGACTCTGAAAAACAAACTGAGGGTTCTAGAGGGGAGGGGGTTGGGGGGGATGGGTTAGCCTGGTGATGGGTATTAAAGAGGGCACATTCTGCATGGAGCACTGGGTGTTAGGCACAAACAATGAATCATGGAATATGACATCAAAAACTAATGATGCAATGTATGGTGATTAACATAACAATTAAAAAAGTAAAAAGAAATATAACAAAAACATATAAAAGATATGAGAAAGGAAAATTACTCTGTCATTTATAATCATATCAGAAGATAAGAAAAGGTAAAAGTTACAAATGTGTCAGTTTACCATCTTCCCAGATTTTCTGAGCTTCGGTCCAAAAAGCAATATTTGGTTCTTCTAAGTGAAAAAGGGCCCAGGATTTTGAACGGAAATTTGGACCATGAAAACAAGCTAGTGTCATATGATTTCCATGTAAGCTCATTGATCCTCCGAACTGCATTCCATTTTCTGGTAATGGAATCTGAAATAAGGATATGTGGCATCCTGATACCACCTTCAATACTCCAGGCCAATGTCGATGATGAGCTGCATCGAGCACTGCAAGAAAACCAAAACCACTTATCCTGAAGTGCTTCACAAACACCCTGAATGGCAGGTAGGAAGGCAGGAGGTGGCTATTTTCTATAGCTGAAGTGATGCAGATAAGGGATGAAAACAATCCAATACCTGGTTAACATTAAGCAGAAGCTAATAAAAATATAGTCTGGGAAAAGATGCTGCGTAAGGATGGACAGAATTAATGAAAGTAGTAACTTGCTAATGATAATTACAGCTAACACTTCTGTAATGATTCATGATTTACAAAGTACTTGCATAAACTTTTATACAATTCTCACAATAACTCTGTAAATTAGGGACTTGATCTAGATTCAAGTGAAGCAGAAGAGGGGTTAAGTGAATCAGTGACAAGAAGATCTAGAAATCATATGGACGCTTATAACCTTGCTACTCAAAAGTGAGGTCTGAGGACCAACAGCATCAGCAACACCTGGCAGCTTGTTAGATAGAAAGAGAAACTCTTAAGTCCACCCTATACCTACTGTATCAGAATCTGCATTTTATGAGATCTCCAAGTGTTTCAGATACACATTAAAGTCTAAGAAGCACTAATCAGATGTACAATTCGTATTTATATTTCTCACTTATCCCAATAATGTCCTTTTTGGCTGTTTTCCACAACTCTCATTCCAGATCCAAACAAGGATCACACGTTATATTTAGTTATCATGTCTCTTTAGTTTCCTTTAATCTAAAACAGTTCTGTAAGCCTGGTTTGTTTTTCAAGATAAGGACTTCTTTTAAGAATCTAGGCTAGGAGTTTTGGGGCACATCTAATTTGTAAATACCTAACACCAATTCTAGTTTAAAGGAAATATAGGGACTAGCGGAACAAAGACAAATGAAACCACAAGCAAACAACTGAAAAAAAAATTTAGAAGTTCAGACATTCTGCAGGACAATAGGCTAAGTCTCTTCAATGAGTCAGGTCATTAAAAATAATAAGGACTATGCTGAATTAAAAGAAAGTAAAGGAACATAACCAGATTTAACTTGTGATCTTGAATCTGATATATTGGTTTGGACAAACCAGTTGTAAGAATAATTTTAAGGTCAATTATAGAATGTGGTCAGAAGGCCAGAGGAGATAAATACTTAGCAAAATGGAAAACTGGATACTGTTCACTAGAAAAGGTTACAAAACAGTATGAACAATAATATTTTGGTAAAAAGTACATGTGTTATATAGGTTTATAGAAAATCATCTGAAAGTACATACTCTAAATGGTTCAGAGTGATGATTTCTGGGTGGAATGTGATGTTTCTGTTTTTGCTTATATGTACTTTCTAGGCTTTTCCAATGCATATGTACTGCTTCTGTGATTATAAAGAGTTATTTAAAATGATCCCGATTCTGACTACTTTTCACCACTTTTACCTCTCTCTGGTTAAAGCTGCCATCACTTGCTGCCTGGACTCTTCCGATGGCCTCCTTACTGTAACTATGTTTGCAACAACAGTAATGGTTATTACTGCAGCAGTCTCTACTTCCACTCTTCACCACCTGTAGTCTATTCTTCATAAGCAGCAAGAGTGATTCTTCAAAAAGGAGTATTTTAAGAAAAAGTAAATCAAATACGAAATCTGTTCAGAACTCTCCAATAGCTAGCTTTCATATTCAAAATCTTATCTTTGGCCATTCATATCCGACACTTTCCTGCTTGTTCACTCTGTTTCACCAAAGTAGCCACCTTAATGATCCTCAAATAGACAGTTTCTTCTACCGTAGGAGCTTTGCACTTGTCAATAGGCCCCTATGTCCAGAACTCTCTTCCCCAGTGGAGATCTTTCTAGCCTAGAACTTTAAAAGGCTTCTGTGACCAACCTTTCTAAACTAGCTGGCCTCACACACTATTCTTTATCTCCTTCTCCTGCTTTTTCAGTACGTCTTTCTATCTGAAATTATCTGATGTATTTAGTTAGTAAGTTAGTAAATTAATTATAGTCTATCTCTCCCATTACAACAAAGCTTTATATAGGTAGGAACTTTGCCTACTAGGAGATCTCCTATGCCTAAAACAGTGCTTAAGAATATAGCTGACTTGCTGATTGAATTACTGAGCGAAAATAATAATCTGCCTAATATGACACAGCTAATAAATCCAAAAAACTCCAAAAAAATCCAAAGCTCAGACATTCTGATTCCACAGCCCATGCTCTAAACCAGAACATGGTATTGTCATAATTAGTATTCAAGAGCACGGAGTGGGTATTGGTTATAGGTGAGTTGTGGCAGGAGTAGGAGGTAATATGTGATGGCTTCCCAAATGATGGCCTTTAATTCTATTGGTGGGTAGGAAATCAGGTACTTTGCTGAGTGAATAGAATAAAGAGCATATGGATCACTTTGTAAGTATGATACATAGATATTATTTAAATTAAGATTGTAACACAACATTTAGTGAAAGATAAAGCATACATAAAGGCTTAGTTCTGATTCTTACATTGTTCTTGCGAACTTCTCTCTAGGTTATTAGTCATTGTCTTAGGTGGAAGATATGGAACGGGTCCCCAGGTAGACAGAGCTCGTTTGCTGGTGTCAAACTGTTGTGTGAAAAATTCCTGGAGCTTCATTCCTATTTTTATCAGGTCTGGTGTAGTTGATCTTGATATCATTACTTGGAAAATATCCCACTTCAAATCTCCATGGACAAATATTTCACTAAAGCATAAAAGAGAGTTATATATCTTACAGAAGATGGCTTAAAAAAAAAAAAAAAGGAAAATTCCCTTCTCCACCCAGGTTTTTCATTCATATTAGTTGCATAATATAAAATCATTTTGCAAAAAAATATGAATCATTTGCGTTTTCTCACTGGAGGAGAGAAAACATACTAAGAGCAGTCATACAAAGTGTTCAGAAAGTAACATTTCACTAAATACCTTTTATCAGTCATGCTTGAATCCAGTGCGTTATACAGATTTACTTTCCATTCATCCTGAAGCTTGAGATCAGCATTACTGAAGATACCCATGAGGATACTTGAGCCCATGTAATCAACACGAGCTTCAGTAGAACCCATAGTAATCTGAATTTTGTGACTAGGTTGCTGATTTGGATGTTCAGAAATATGAGCTAAAATGGAAATGATAATTACCTTTCATAGAAATACCTAATGGGGAAAACTTATCAAAATCAATTTTCAAAAATTTGTTTTCAGTTGTAAAATTTCAACATACCAACCATCTCCAAAGCATTGACATCTATGGTCCCTCCAACTACTCCTCCTTTAGAATCCAACTGTGATCTTCCCAGACCTACGGACATGCTTATCTCTCGATCTCGATTACTTCCTACCGACAGACGGCCCTGGCTCTTCAAACCACTAGTTGTCCAACTGGAGAAAAGAAAAAGGGTTGTTAATTTGACATACTGCTTTCAATGTCATGAATTAAAACAGGAGTTAGAGGATTTTGAAAAATCTGAAAAAACAATACATTTCTTATAAAAACTGTGGTAAATGAATATTGATAATAAACCTTTCTTCTTAGCAAATTACACTGTTTTCCTTTTAATTTTCTCTTTTTAGAGGACATAGTCCATGTTGTTTTATATTATAATATCTTTAGGATAAAACCATTTTCAAGATAAAGCAATTTATAGCTTTTTTCTACTGTCTCAAACACTTCAGTTATTAAAAAGGTTTTAAATTGCTTTATTACAATATAAGAAAAATTACAACGAATGATTAATTTTCCTTGTATCTGAATATCTTACGTTGTATTTCCCATTACATTACTCATATTCATTTGAACGTTTAATTGCTTCAAGTTGATGGCAAACACGACCAATGTTTCCCATGGGGTCCCTTGTTGGCTTGCTGCTTTGTTCGATTTGTTAAAAGGAGTTGATGTTTTTGAAAGTGAATCTAAAAACAGAAACATCAAATGCATATTCACTCACATAGATGCTCAGACAATTAAAAGTTACCATTCTTACCACTACAGCCCCAGAAGTAAAAATATGGTATTCTTAATTAAAACCTAACTAATAGCTGTCATATTGCTTCTAAAATACTAGCTACCATTTACTGAACATTCAGTAGGGCTAGCAGTCTTCTTGAAAGCTCATAAAGTTCCGTATGATCTCCATTTTACATGAGGAAATTCTGGTGTGCATGGGATATAGCAGCACAGATCGTCACCCTGGGATTTTCTTAACAAAGGAGAAAATCATAAGTTGCGGCTGCCAAATAGAGGACTTGAAGGCAGGGACCGTTCTGAAATGCAGACACCTGCTGAGGTGCCGGTCTGCTGGGTTCCTGTGGGCTCAGTGTGTATCTTGAACCCTGCATTCACTCATTATACTCTAAGCTTGTGACATGAACTATATCATTTTTATATGTTCAGATACAAGTAGAGTGCTGAGCACATAAAGGAGTTCAAAAAACACTGGCTGAATAAAGGAATGACTGAATGGATGAATACCAAAGATTAACTTTTTCATAAATGAGTCTGACACTCAGGAAAAAAAAAAATTAACTTTTTCAAAATCAAACATCTTTTCCAATGTCACAGGTTTGTTTTACTTCTAAAAATAACTACCACGTGGAACAAACTAATAATATGTTCATTCCTCTCTTCTTTTCCCTTTTTAAAGCTACTAGTCATCCAGCTATCTCTTCTTCTGGCAAACACTTTGAAGTGTCTATTGTTTGTTTTTGGGTATTCCCACCCCTCCATCTTTCATAAAAATCTTCAAGAGTATCTTTTCCTACAGTTGAGGCAGAAATCTGAGAGTAACTAATTAAGATTTTTATCTTGGGGGTATTGGAGGGATACTGATAACAAAGAGAGCAGTGTTACCTCTTCGGGGAACTGAAGAATCAGACACACTCCTTGATCTTATGGAAGCTGGGGATTTTAGGCTCTGTGCTGCTGTCCCTGGCGACATGGTGCTGTTTGTCATATGTTCATTGAATACATTAGGTGACTGAGGCATGTGGGTGAAAGAGGCTGACTGACTAGGCTGTTCCCAGGTCCTGCAGTAAGCTTTTCTTGACGATTCAGGAGAAAGATGCTGGCTTACCCCTTCAATGGAATCAGGTGTCCCTGGGCCAGATGCTGTTAGAAAAGTAGAAACAAAATTAACAGAATCAAAATTAATCAGGATACAATCTCCACGTTATAAAATAATAAATTTCACCACTCTATCTTTTCTAATCATAGATTCCTTCTAGTTCTCTATTTGATACTGTACAGCAATTTATGGTTTGCAAAGTACATTCCAGCATGTTATTTTATTTGATTCTCATGGTAATTCATGAGAGGGGCAATACAGGTACTCTTTTTCCATTTTACAAATAAGGGAATAGATGGGCGCCTAGGTGGCTCAGTTGGTTAAGCATTTGACTCTTGAAATCAGCTCAGGTCATGATCTCAGGGTCGTGAGATCCAGCCCTGCATTGGGCTCCGCGTTGGGTGGGGAGCTTGCTTGGGATTCTCTCTCTTCCTCTCCCTCTGGCCCTCCCACCCCCCGCCAGGTTGTGCAAGTGTGCACACTCTCTCTATCTCAAAAAATAAAAAAAATAAAAAAATAAGGAATAGACTCAAACTTGGATTTCTAATATTTTCTACTGCATCATGTTAACTCTACCTTTCACTTACACAGTATACTACTAAAACATCATCTAAGTCCAAGAGAAAAAATGCAGGCAATGTGATAGCATATCCCCAACATTTTCTGTTTTCCATGCTTAATTAACCATGATTAACTTGGATGTCTTACCAAGTAAAACAAAGTTTGTGGTATTAATCATTGATTCCTGTTACTACTGTAACCAAAATTAAAAGTAACATAAGTATAATTACAATTACATAACAAGCTTACTTGGCAAATTTATAGTTTGGTCTCCAAGGAATAGGCGTCTTGCAATACTTCTCCTATACCAGGCTCTTGGAAATGCCAGAATTTCACTGAGTCGACGCATATCATATTTAAAGGAGGCAGACCCTATATCACATACAGCTGATACATAAATAAATAAAGTCTGTTAGAAGAGATTTCCAAAACCTTTAATATTGTCACATGGTAGGTATGACACATGACACAACTAAATTATAATAATGTTATAATTAATGAAATATCAAAATAAGTTACAAGGTATGATTAGTAAGTGATAATATTTGTTCCTTCCACAAATGATAAAAATAGCACATTTTTGGGCACCTGGGTGGCTCAGTTGCTTAAGCAATTGCCTTCAGCTTAGGTCATGATCCCGGAGTCCCAGAATCGAGTCCCGCATCAGGCCCCCTGCTCAGCAGGGAGTCTGCTTCTCCCTCTGACCCTCCCCCCTATCGTGCTTTCTCTCATTCTCTCTCTCTCAAATAAATAAATAAAAATCTTTTAAAAAATAGCACATTCTTACACTATTCCCATTTCCTTTTTTGAGGTGAGGGCAACTTGGAATTCTGTTGTCACTTTATCATGAAATTCTGAGGGGTTCTAAAGATCAGACTTATTGACAGCTTTCAACTTTAATATAGGGCTCTTCTCAAATATGGAAACTGAATAAGCGGGATGGGCAGGGACACAAACTTCCTCAAAAGTAGTTGTAAACCAAACAGTGTGTGGCAAGAACTGCTATTTTCCTTTTAGACAAAGAGCAGGGACTTGTCAGTCTGAAGGCATTGTGATGACCGCTTCTTGGGGTTCTGCTCTGAGCACTCTTCTGCCCCTGCTTTACATGCTCTTCTGTTCTTCCACCAGAGCTTCTGTAAGGAGTTACACACCAGTGTCCCCCAAATCTAATATTTCTGTTTCAGCCTGAGTCCATATCCACATAGCCCATCAGCCAATTATCTACAGACTCTCCCACCTAAACGTCCTAATAAGCACTTCCTTATTTTTGATCTAAGTTAATGACAGTCCACTATCCCTTCACTCACCTAAGCTAAAAACTTGAGGCATCCTTGTCTCCTCTACTCCTTACACAACTTGTCCTCAAGCTTGTGGGTTCTACTTCTCTTAAAACCATTCTCTCTTCTTTTTTATGGTCACAGTTTAGGGTTTCACTCCCTATTGCTTGGTCTATTTCAACAGTCTTTTCAAGCATCTCTCCCATTTTTCATGCTGCCATCAACTCTTTCTAAAACACCAATCTGAAGCATCATCCCATTTCTTTTTTTTTTTAAATACAAACATGTTATTTTATAATACATATACAAATTTATTGTGTGTGGTAAGAACACTTAAGATGAGATCTACTATCTTCACGGATTGTTTTTTTGTCTTCACAGATTTTTGAAGTGTACAATATAGTACTGTCATCTTTAAGCACAGTGTTGTCATCCCATTTCTTAAAAACCTCTAATGGCTTTTCACTGCCCAAAGGATCAGAATCCTGTTCTTTAGCTTGGCATATGAGTCTCCCATCAATCTAGTCCTGGGGTGTTTTACCAGCTTTCCCTCTAAGCAATTCCTCTCTCCCTTGGGACATTTAACTATACAACCAGTTAAATGTTCAGTTATAACTATGCTTTGCTTCAGTGAACCGAAGTATGATCCAAAAGCATACTTTCTGATGCTCTCTGTACCATTAAAGACCATGTTGCTATAGCTAAGAATTTTTTTTTTACATAATTTTGAAGATCTGGCCCCAATATCATTTCTGTTGTGAAGCCTTCTTTGATCTCTTGAATAAAACAATTTATTTCTTCCTCTTTATGTAAAGCTCCATTATAGCATTAATTACACTGCACTGTCATTTATTTGTCTACTTGTGAGACCTTGTCTTATTCATGCTGGCACCCTGAATCATCTACCAGAGTGTCGGCACAAGTTCATTGTAAAATATAGGCTCAGTGTATGTTTGTTGAATACTAGCTTTAAGTGTACTTACTGTATTTGTGCAATTAATAACCTTAAAAATTTTCACTCCCATAGTACTCTCAATTCTTAAAAATGTTCCACATGCACTTAATTTTAAACAGTCAAGTCATAACATAAGGAAAATGAGCAAGTGATTTGCCCATAGGTATATGGCTAGTTACAAAGCTAGCAATACACATGTACACAGCTTAAGATCTAATGACACTAAGTAAAAAAAATTTAACCATCATCCCTCATTAGTGTTTTAAGAATTTACAATCAGAAAACTAAGCTAATGAAAAATCAGAAATTTTACCAATTCATGGTAGAGAAGTGAAGAAAAGAAGCAGTTTTCAGTGACTTAACTAGGCATACTTTGGCCTTTGGGTGACATTTCTATGCATTTACCTAGAAATCATATTCCTAACATTGCTTACTTGGATTGAGAGAGTACATTGGCCTAGACTGTTACTCCTCTCATTTAAATCATTCATCACTAAAAGCTTAATGTTACTATTAAAACACTGTTAAAAAGGAGGCCCTTACTTAATTCTGAAAAACAGCATTTTAATTAAGAAACTATACAATTAAGTACCAGATATATTGATTAGTGTAGTGTCCATTTTGCTTGCAGATTTGCTTACAGACTGACTTTCAAAAAATGAGGCACCTCCTGAGCGCCTTATCCGAGACAAACTCACTTTTACAAATTCAAGGTTTATACTGAGTGAGTCTTTTCGACCAGTGACGGAAGTGGGTTCTTCATCCACATTCCCTTTAAAACAAAAACAAAAACACAACACACACACATTTATATATGTATGCATATATATACATGTATGCAACTATCTAGTTACATGAAATTATCTAATACACTGGAATATGCCAACAATTAAAATCACTTTAGGTGAGGTTAAAAATTTAAGAATGATCTAATGAGCAATAGCATTCTTAACAATAGTTTAATAGTTTCAAGCCCATAAACAATAGTGATGATTTTCACAATACTTCTCCAACAAAAACTAGCACTGACATGGAATATATGTTTTTGTTACTTCTCTAAGCAAATCAAGAGACATTCACTAATATCAAAATCTCAGACATTTTTAGTGGTAAATCTGCACTTTAAAATGATAGTGAAATTTAAGTTGGTTAAATAATGACAAGAAGGAGAAGCAACAGCAGCAGAAGGTGGTTTCATTTTAAACTGAGAAATGTGATGCACACACTTTAAAAATTCACTATTTGCAGAATACAATTTCTTATACAAATAATGATTTGGTAAAACATTTAAACTTTTCAGTAACATAAATATCCTTTTTAAATCCAAAGATTATTGTGCTGCATATGTCACTGTTTTAAAATTCTTATATAATTAATTCACCTCAATTATTAATTTCATATTTCTACTTATGTAGAGACAGGATACATATTGTCAAGAAGAAAAATAAAGTTTTTGATCTTATTTTATATCCATTATTATTTTTTTAAATTTTCTTTTATATCCATTATTAAAGGTACTGTGATTTCTGAAAAGATCAAAGCTTGAAAATGTGCTATAAATTAAAAAAGATGGAAACACTCTTAAGTATACCTAGTCCTCCTGATCCAGGTGTGAGCCCAGAAACAGCAGTTTTTTGTTTCCCTGCTCCGTATGGATGAAATACATAAAGGGAAAAGTCAGACATGCATGCAGTGAAGCTCAACCCAGACGAACTGCTGCTAGAACTGGTTAGATCTGATTGACTACTACTATGTCGACTTCTGCCAAGAGGGCTGCCTAGGCCGGATGAACCTATAGTGAAAACAAGAAATCCAAAATATTTATAAGCCACAGAAGATTGTAAAAGCCTGTCACTTAATACATTCTTAAGAACCAAACAAGACTTGAAATTAAAATGGAAATACTCAAACATTAATTGATAAATAGATTTAAAATCTTGATATCAAAATAAAGACTTAGATGTACTTTTCAATTAATTTTTTCTATTAACTGGGGTTGAATACTCTGTTCATCTTTGAAACAATTATTTAGACATTTGATTGGCCAACTCCATGGTTTCCTGTTTCTTTTCTCCTTTGCTCCACTGGAAGCAGGCAGTGGAAGAGGCACAAAATAGCTGGGACTTAAGCGAAGGGGGAGAACAAACTATAAAAAATCCAAATCATGTAACTGGAGTCCACATTTCAGTAGCCAGCAGTGGAAATAGAGCATGGTACACAAATGCAGAAAGTTAAAGATCTCTTTCTCTGAGAAGAAGCAAGTGTCCTCATTGGCAACACTTACCATAGGTGGTGTATAGCCTAATTCAAAATATGCTTTAAATGTAAAAAATACGAGTAAAGCATCTTAAGAGAACATTATATGATTTTGCTAGTAATTCCAAAATATGTATTTCCAAAATATATAGACCTCCTTTGGATTCATATTGCAACTGGTTACTTGACATCCTACTAGAATGTGTCACAAGCATTTAAAGTTCACCATGTCCAAAACTGAATTCTTGATCTTTACCCCCATCTATTTTTCTTCCAGTGTCTCCCATCTCCAGTAAGTGACATTTCCAAGCAAATAGCTCAGCCAGAAACCTGAGAGTTATTTGTCATTCTTCCCACTTCTATCATGCAATTTATCACCATTATCATTTCAATGTCTAAGAACATAAATTAAGCCTGTCCATTTCCCTGTATCTCACTATTGTTACTCTAGTCTAAGCAATTATCAGCTCTGGACTGCTGAAATGGCCAACTGTTCTCCCTGCTTTCTTCTACTCTTGTTCTCCTCCAATCAACTATCGGACTGCAGCTGGACTGGTGCTATTCTGAAGGTGTAAATCAGAATCTCACGTCTACATTCCTGTTTAACCTTCAGTGGCTTTCCCACATGATCTGGCTCTTTCCCAGCTCTCTAAATCTTTATCATACCAATCTACCTTTTGTTTGCCACACGCCACTTACACTAGTTGTTTTTGTTTTTTAAACTTGCCAAATTCTTTCTTGCTTCATGGATTTTGTGTTCTCTACCTAAAGTGTTCATCATCCCAACTCTCTGCTTGGCTAACTCATACTCACTTCACATTTTCACTTAAAATATACTTGTTTGCTTGTTTTCTGTTTCTCCAAATTCAACTTAGGTTCCACATTAGCAGTGACATATCTGCTAGCTAGGTTCACTACCATCCATTCAACCTCTGGCATGGACCCAGGCCCCAGTAAAGTTCAATAAAGATCCTTTGAAAGAATGGATACTGTTGTGGCGTCTGGGTGGCTCAGTCAGTTAAGTGTCTGCTTTCAGCTCAGGTCATGATTTCAGGGTCCTAGGATCAAGCCCCAGGTCTGGCTCCCTGCTCAGCAGGGAGCCTGCTTCTTCCTCTCCCTCTCCCTCTGCCTCTGTCCCTCCCCCTGCTTGTGCTTCTTTATCTGAGAAGATAAATAAAAAATCTTAAAAAAAAGAATGGATACTATCATAACCTATACTTCTTATACATTTATTCTTATCATTATTCTTCCTGCATGTTTTATGATGATAAAATGAGGGATGCTATTTCATTTTTTTAAATTTTCTATAGAATCAAAATGTGGACAAAAAAAATAGTCGCTCATTTCATATTCCTTTCACTACAGATACTTAGTATGGTACATATATACACTACTACAATAATTTAAGTGTCAGTAATTTGTGGCATTTTGTCATTAAGAAAAAAAGTGAATATCCCAACAGAGAAATGGACATGGGCATATTTCTCTCCCGCATTAGCCAATAAAGTAATAACACATAAAATAAAACCCCATTTTAGCCCATCACATTAACAATGATTAAAAATAAATTTAAAGCGTAATGTTGGGAAGAATACAGTGAACCTGGTGTCTACACACACTGTGGTGAGGATGCAGAAATCTTATATTTACTAGAATAGTAAAACATATCAAACACTTTAAAAATGTTCACTCTCGGGCGCCTGGGTGGCTCAGTTGGTTAAGCGACTGCCTTCGGCTCAGGTCATGATCCTGGAGTCCCTGGATTGAGTCCCGCATCGGGCTACCTGCTCAGCAGGGAGTCTGCTTCTCCCTCTCCCGCTTCCCCCTCTTGTGCTCTTTCTCTCTCTCACTCTCTCTCTCAAATAAATAGATAAAATCTTTAAAAAAAAAAATGTTCACTCTCTCTGACTCAGGAATTCCACTTTTAAGAATTTATCCTAAGGATGTTGATTTATATATAAAGATATTCATCTCAATATTATTCACAAAATAGAAAACAAAAAGCCCAGGGAGTCTCAAATGTATGATCGAAATGATGGAATGTCATGCAATCATTAAAATTATTTTAGAGATGAATATTTAATAATTTGAGAAAAACTTATATTTTAAGTTTTTAAAAGATACATAGCAGAAGAGATCATATTTAAATTTTGCCTGGGAAGAAGACTGTATCTACAAAAATGTGGAAGAGTAGGTAGGAAGTGATAATACTGGTTATCTAAGATAAAAGGATATTATTTTCATTTTTAGTACTCTTGTTTTCTGTATTCTCTATAACGAACAGTGAGTTAATTTTATAATCAAAAAGTAGGTTTTCAAAAACTGACACTACCACTCCAATATTTTATAGACTACAACACAATTCCAACAGCAATATTTTGGAGCTAAGTGTGACAGTGGGCAACCACATTTGCAAAAACTTATTTCTAAAATATCAACTTTTTTTTTTAAGATTTTTAAAAATTTATTTATTTGACAGAGACACAGCGAGAGAGGAAACACAAGCAGGGGGAGTGGGAGAGGGAGAAGCAGACTTCCCGCTGAGCAGGGAGCCCAATGTGGGGCTCAATCCCAGGACCCTGGAATCATGACCTGAGCCGAAGGCAGATGCTTCGCTTAACGACTGAGCCACCCAGGTGCCCCTAAAATACCAACTTTTTGTTTTCCTATTTTATGAGGAAAACTTTCAAAGATTCATGCAGCAAAGCAATGTTTTGTTTTAGCCATTTTTTCAGTGTCTTCTGACATTGCAAAATATCCCCTGGGGGCTTTTTTTAACCCCTGGTTATGAACCATTGTTTTAATGATAGTTCTCTTATTAATAATTATCAATTTTCACTCATTCTAGTCTCTTTAAGAATGGTCAATAAAATCTTTATCATTTGCATATGCAATCTTTCTATGATTTTTAGGGCAGAAATGACACTGAGCTTTAATACAGTGAACAGTGACTTTCTCACCAGGAAATCATAAATTGTGTGTTAAAAACAAAACCTTTCATGAAATGGACATTTGAGTTATAAATATATATATATACATTATTATGATTACATACACACACACACACACACAAACTACCCTCGATACAATTTTAATTCACTGTGATAAATTCTTGCATGATAACACTGTCTTCTTTTCCATTTGCAACACTGATTACTCTTAAATGTAAAAATAGAGCATAAGACATTCAAAAGTACTTAAACGTATAAAATGACATTTACTTCATAGTGCTTGTAGCATGTACATTCAAACCAACCAAAAAATGCTATCCAACTGCCATTCACTTGCAAAATATACTCAAAAAACTTTGATCTCAATATATTTTTCTATAAATACTCTAATTCTCAAATATTCTCCTTTTCCAAGTTTATTTTTTTAGTAATATACACTAATCATTATTAAAATATTTATTTGAAAATAGTAGTTGGCTTTCTACCAGGGAATAAAAGAGTGTTTCTGTACCCGGTGTTCCAGTTTTGCTTGTAGAGGTCTTTGTTCCACTCTGAGTAGCACTACCTCCAGGGGATAAAGTCTCTGTGGGATACGTGGTCCCTAAAGTCTCCAGTTCGCCTCGGTTTGAAGAAAACACCAAGTCCAGGGATGGTAGCTTTAGCATGCATTCTACTCTTGATACTGGTAAACAGCTAAACTTGATCTGTGAGGGCTAAAAAGTGCAGAAAGCCCAAAAAAAAAAAAAAGAAAAAATTTCTGGGTACTAGTTAAAAAATTTCACACTGGATTCCAAAAATATAATTTCCACTTCAGTCCACATATAGCAAATTATTTGACACTTTAAAGGCTTTTTTTGTTTAATGTCCTAGCTTTTTCAAACAGATACATGATACATTAACCAAAATTTATTAACAAAATGGCATTTTAGGAATCACCTCTGAGTGATAAATATTTAGATATTTAGATGATTCAGAACATTAAAGATATCTATGTTCATATTATACTTGTTCATAATCAAATTTTTAAAGGAAATAATTCCTCTTATACTAAAATTTTTAAAAAGCTATTTAATAAGTTCTATAAACTCTCAAGCCCTCCCCATTACATGTTTTTATCATATCTTCAAAAGGCTAATGCAAAACTCCATCCTGAAGCCCTTTTGGCCAAACTGCTATTGTAGAAAATAGTTTGAACAGATGACCATTAGTGTTTCTTTTATTCTTGAGATTATCAGATTTTAATTGAAGGTAAACTGAAACCTGAAGTTTGGTTACAAGTAGTTTTCAAATCCTCTTTAATAAATGGACTCAATCAGATGCTAATACAGTCCCAAAGGGCGACTGTTAAGACTGCATTTTACAATAAAATATTAAATAAAAATTCCATAACTTAGCAAAAATCTAACAAAGGTACTACTGTGTGACTTACATCTCAATTACACTTTATATTTGCCCCAAAAGGACCATAATGGCAAGAAATACAGGTGGCAAGAAATAAAAAAAGGGCATAAAATTCTAAAAAAAAAAAAAGGGTTTTAACTTACACATTTTTATTTTTGCCAAAAAAGTGTAAGATCTAAATTTTGAAAACCCAAAGATCTATGAACCTCCTCAGCAGAAAAGTAAATACACACACAAAATTGTACATAAACTTCCCAGAGGTCCAGGTGATCTCTAAGCCAGTATAGGTTTACTAAAGGTCCATGAATCCAAGGTTAAAGAAACTTTAAGGGAAAAATGTTGGAAATATTCAAATAAACTTAAAAACATTTTTCTTTAAAACAAAAGGGAATAAATGAAGTATATCACCTGAACTCGTACATAAACCACAACATCTACAGGGAAAGAAGAGTAAGCAGATGTTGAAGATGATACTAATGATGTTGTTGATTCTTCCATAGGATCTGGTATTTCAAAATGTCCCATATCTTCATCTTGTGAACTGACAGCTGTTAAAATATTTAGTTTTATTATTAGGGCAAGGGCAAACTATTTTTTTTAAAGATTTATTTATTTATTTGAGAGAAAGAGAAAGAGAGTGTGCAAGCACGGGGGTGGGGGTGGGGGAGAGAATCTTAAGCAGACTCCACGATCAGTGTGGAGCCTGATGGGGTACTCCATCTCATGACCCTGAGATCATGATCTGAGCCAAAATCAATACTTGGACGCTTAACTGACTACACTAGCCAGACACTCTGGGAAAACTATTTATCAAAAGATCTTTTCTTGGGGCACATGGGTGGCTCAGTCGGTTACACATCTGCTTTCGGCACAGGTCATGGTCCCAGGGGCCTGGGATCGAGCCCCGCATCAGGCTTCCAGCTCAGAGGGGAGCCCGCTTCTCCTCCTCCTTCTCCCTCTGCATTTTCTCCGTTTGTGCTCTCTGGCTCTCTCTCTTTCTCTCTGTCAAATAAATAAATAAAATCTTAAAAAAAAATATCCTTTCTCTCATGCTAGTACTGAGATCAGGGATATGAACACACAGAAATGTGCTTCTGTAGCCCATCATTCTACACATCTTTCCCTATTCAAACCTCCTGCTCATTTCTCCAAATTCTAATTCCCCTCCTACTACAACAAACACTGTACAAAAAAAATTAAGCCTTTGCCCTCAAGAAGTTTCCAGTCCAAGAGGGAAGCTAATGTAGGAATTAAGGATGTTAATTTCGTCATTAACTAGCTGTGGCCGTGGGAAAATCATATAACCCTCACCAAGACTTAATTTATTTGTAAATGAGGACTAGATGATTTCTCAAGTTTTCTTGATTTGTAAATGAGGACTAGATGATTTCTCAAGTTCTCTCTATAATTCTTGACTACTGAATATATTAATAATAATATATAACAGCATTAAAAATCCTTCTAAGTAATAGAATTTTAAAAATATTTGTGATGCAGGGGCACCTGGGTGGCTCAGTCGTTGAGCATCTGACTCTTGATTTAGGATCAGGTCATGATCTCAGGATTCTGAGATCAAGGTCCACGTTGGGTTCTGGACTGGGCATGGAGCCTGCTTAAGGTTCTCTCTCCCACTCCCTCTGCAACACCCCCTCCCTGACTCTGTGTTTGTGCTCTTAAAAAAAAAATTGTGATGGGGAAGTAAGTATATAAGGAGGATACTTACTTGTGTAATTCCTTTCAATTGGTGTAATTGGGATAGTTTCCAGAGCTTTTTCCAGAAAATCTAATAGGCAGGGACTAATAACCATTTCTTCTGGCAATGACTGAAGCGCTACCCAAGCATATAATTTGGCTGTTTTTACTCCTCCACTTCCTTTTCCTTTGGCTAGAACATTTACAAATGTGAGGTCAATTTAATAGTTCCCATACAACATATAATAATTTTGTGAGAAATTAGAACTATATATGACAGTTTAATCAGGTGAAGCACCTTATACCTAAACCATACAAGAATGCAATAAAAATAGCAGATTGATAGAAATGATATATTAATATTAGAATATAAAGATAGTGATGCATATAAAACAATAGTTATTTCTACTTGCTCTAGGTCACAAATGTTGCTTCAATTTTTCAAATTTATAATTTGCTAAGCGTCTCATTTAGCATTATTTTGTCCACTTAAGAAGACACAGAGAAATCTGACGAACAATATTTCGTGTTAAGTGAGGAAAATGTTGTTTTCAGGCTTTCCTATGTTCCTGCTGTTCTTAGCTTGTAGATTTTTACAATGCCTCCCTACATGGACTGCCATCCTTCTTTCACTTCTACATAACAAATATTTCTGTGTGAGTAGAATGAATGTAATAGCTAACTAAGATTTAGCTAACTTTGGCTTAGGTTTCCACCCTCAACATATATTAGTTTTGTAAACCAAGTAAATCAGCTCAACTTCTATGAACCTGAACTTTCTTCATTTATAAAATGGGGATAATATCTGTCCTGCACTTAATGGGCATAGATGTGCCTTGTCAATTCAAAAGTGATACAGAAAATTTTATGCATTATCACATTTATTAGCTATTTTATTGAGCATACAGGTCAGCCCTCTTCAGTGCGGAAGAAAACTACACAAGGGCATGAGTACCAGGAGGCAAGGGCCACTGGAAGCTATTTTGGAATCTGGCTACCACACCACATGAATAATACCTTACATGTATAGTAGAATTTCCAAGAAAAGGGATTATCAGACCAGACAAGAATTAGTTCAAAATGTTTCATTTGAGAGATGGAATTTGATATATAAATCTTTTAAGATATTGTGGAAGTGAATGTTTGTGACTTCTGAGGCTAAGCCATAAAAGATACTGCAACTTTAGTAGCTATGTTCTCTTTTGGATCACTCCTTTTGAGGGAAGTCAGTTCCCTTGTTATGGGAACACTCAAACAGCCCAGTGGACAGGCCCACATGGGGAGGAACTAAAGCACCAGTTTGCCCATCATGTGAATGGGATGTGATGGAAGTAGAACTTCCAGACCCAGTTGAGCATTCTGATGACTGCAGCCTTAGCCAACATCTTGACTGCAGTGTCACGAAAGACTGTAAAGTTAGATTCACCAGCCAAACTGCTCCTGAATTGCTGATCCACACACACTGTGTTTAAGGTTATAAGCCACCAGGTTTGGGATCATTTGTTATGCAGTACATGTAATTAATAAATGTGGTTAAGACCAATGTACTTTGTCTTAAAAGTATAAGTTTGATGCTTCCATCTAGATCATAATCTCCCATATATCAACTACATAAAAATTTTTCTAAATACATATAGATCTAAAAAGTTAAGTAAATAAACTATTTAGCATAGTAAGTTTCTTTTAACACTGATATTCTAAGGTAGTATCAGTTTGAAAAATAGCCAAAGGTCAGGCCACACTTCCATATGTGAGTTTTATACAGTCATTATTGGCAAGTCTATGTGATCTTCTCTTTAACATGTAAATTTGCAAGAAATTCTCAATAGAGCAAGTAGGTGATGATTAAAAAGTTACCAAAAAAGTTAAAAATAACGTATATTTTCCTGAAATACCTGAGGGAATAGGTGGGGGTTGGGGAGGAAGTAAGGTGTTAGTCTTGCTCTGGACAGTGCAAGGTAAAGGAGGAGAAGGAGGAGATGGTGCACTATCTTTCATACCATACAGCTTGGACTCTTTAGAGAGGGTTCTTGGCAAGGAAGATCCTCTGGAGGCATTGGGTGATTCGGTCTTTAGTGTCTTGGAATTGTAATGCAACTGTATTAAGACAAATAAACTTTCAAAATTAAAATAATGAAGATGAGAAAAACCAACATATGTAGAAAAATGTGGAAGAACACCAATCCATGAGTCAGAAGACCCAGTTCCAGTTCTTACAAGTTAACGCTGTGATACTAGCAAGATTCTTAGCTGTTTTTCATTTAAAATTTAAAAAGTCATCCTAGATAATAAGTTCCTTCTTGCTTAATTTATAGGATTTTATAATTCTAAAATCTACAAAATAGGTGTTTAAGTTGGACTAGGAAAGGTTTAGCAAATGTAATGACTATCAATGCATAAAAAAGTAACTTCTTACTGACAAATTTTAATGGAAAAGCTGTATAAAAGAAGTGGCAACCTGCAATTTGGATGTTCTTATGTTCAGAATATAGCTATATCAGAGAAAAATGTTGGAAAGTCTCACTTTTCTTCTTTTAATTTTTTAAATTTTATTATGTTTTGTTAATCACCATACATTACATCATTAGTTTTTGATGTAGTGTTCCATGATTCATTGTTTGCATATAACACCCAGTGCTCCATTCAGTACGTGCCCTCCTTAATACCCATCACCAGGCTAACCCATCCCCTCCTCCCCCCCAGGAAAGTCTCACTTTAATAGGTAAAGGAAGAACACATACGACAGAAAATAAACACTGCTAAGAATAATCTAATCCTAGACTTTTAGGTTTTTACCTTTACATCAACTCCAGGAATGTAAAAAACTGTTGTTTCTAAGTCACTAGACTTTGTCTGTAGAGATGATGGCACTTTCTTGCCAGTCATTAAATGGGTGGTAGAAGCATAATTAGTTTGAAACTTCTTCTTTTTTGAAGGAGAATCTTGATCTAAACTCCTGGAACTTCTATCATAACTCCTATAAATAGAAAAATGATTTTTATCTTGTAAAAAAACGCATTTATCTCCTTTTGTTTAAAATCAAACTTTTACTTATACAGTAAGTGGAATGTAATCCTTCATTAATAAAGTTGAAAAAGGAAAGCTCATTAGTGCCTGCTGCTAACCTGGCTAACACCGTCATGGATGATGTTCATGTCGTGTGCTCTGCAGCTACACAGGGCAGCCACCTTTAGTCTTTCCTGAGGTCACAGGTGTTTCACATGAACATGTTAGATTGAACCAAATGAAACTGCCCTTTACATAGGTAAAACCAGCTGAAAATAAGCAAAGTATTATAATGAATTAACATGCTTTTTATCGTTACTACTACATTTGTAGGAATTTAACTGCTTGAGTGCCTTTTTATCTTCTCATTTTATAAAACCCTCCTTAGACAAAAAGACAATTTTTTTTTTTTTAAAAGTAATCTCTATACCCAACATGGGGCTCAAACTCACAACCCTGAGGATCAAGAGTCCCATGGTCTACCAACTGAGCCTGACTGGTGCCTGTAAAAATCTTTTATTATGAAAAATTTCAAACATGCAAAAAGTAAACAGAATGGTAAACTGTGAACCCCTATGGCTCTATCTCCCAGCTTCAACAATTGTCAGCATTCTGCCCCTTTTTTTAATCGACATTTCCACCCACTCCCCATCTATCCTCTCAATTAGTATTTTCTTTAGCTCTTTTTTAGATTAGGAAAGAAAAGCAAACATTCAAAGAAAAAATAATCTAATCTTAAGCCTCTTTATACCACCACTTTTTCAATGATGGAGACAAACGGTAAAGCTGCAGTTATATCCTGAACCACATTCCAGTATAATGAGGCCTCTCTGTCCCCCAGTTTCCCAATCTTGTTTTTCTGAATTCATCAAAATTCTGAATAACCAAGATATCTCTGAGTACTGCACTGTTCTTTAAAACAGGAATGTGCACAATACAAGAACAGAGACTGAGAAATTTGGGCTTATTTAAAGGAGAATTACAAAGATACAACTCTTTTAATTAAATTGCTAGAATCTAAAGCAGAAATGCATTTCTAGTTGCCAGAAAACTTTATACACTTGTTTATTTATTTATTATTTATTTATTTATTTAAAGATTTTATTTATTCACTTGAGACACAGAGCTAGAGAGAGAGAGAGAGAGCATGAGCAGGGAGAGAGAGAAGCAGGCTCCTCGCTGAGCAGGGAGTCCGATGTAGGGTTTATCCCAGGACCCTGGGATCATGACCTGAGCCGAAGGCAGAAGCTTAACCATCTGAGCCACCCAGGCGCCCCTATACACTTGTTTAAAGAAACAGTATGTTTATACAAATAACCACTCAAACTTACAACTGTGATTAAATCCACTCTTTAAATCTGTATTTTGGGACATGGGTGAAAAAGTTCTTTGTGATTCAGTGATATATCAATAGTATTTCTAACAAATGAAGTTACATGTATCCTTTTCTGACCAATTTCTTACCTTCTCAAGCTTATATCGTCATGTTCTTGTAGAAGGGTAGTTGGGTGGAGCACACATTTTCCACTATCAATTTCGACCCGTATATCAAGTTCAAAGTCAATATTTCTCTCTGTAGCAGTGCCACTGAGACTTCGGTTGACTGGAGTTGTGGGCCAGCGTTCTGTAAATAGTTGATGAACAGCAGCAAAGCCTGTTGCTTTTTTACGAGATGTATGTCTAGAGAAAGAACAATTGATCGTTACATTGTATTAAATTGGAAGAATTTCCAACAACCTATTTCCCAATATATTATGTCAGCAACAGTCTGTAAATAAATTTTACCTGTTTTACAAATTCATACATTTTACTCAACTAGCTCATACTAATTGAAGTTTTTCCTAAGTTTGATGTAGTTACATTTTTATTCAACAACGATGCACTCAGTAACTATTATGTGCCAGGTGATGTGCTAGGTGCTGAGGACACAGGCATAATCACTGCTATTAAGGAGTCTGAATATCAGTGTATGAACTATAGTCTACATTTTTGAGGAGATTTCATTTTTGAAAATTGTAAAATGCTATTTTCCTGATTTTATTAAAAGAACGAAGAATAGGGAAAGAAAAAAATAATGTCACATGGAGCTAAATTACACTAGTAAACCATGGCTATGTCTCTTAGTCTCACTCTGGCTAGGTACATTAAAATTTTTTCTGTAACATTTAATAGTTATACATAATGCTTTAAAGTTCAGTTCTAGACTCTGAAATGTTACCTATGGGTCTCAAAATAAAAAGGTCACTTACGAGGGTTTCCTGTAAATATAAAACCTTTCCCTCTCATGGTCTTCATCCTTTTCATCCTTCTCAGAATCTTCACTAGTAGAAGACAAACTGTCATCCCGTCGGCCCTCTTCAGGTTGGAAAGGAATGCCTGATGAATAGCCTCCTGGAGTTTTGGGAGAACTGAACACGGAATATGATCCTTCACTATTTGAGGAGTAATGGGATGGACCTTCAACAGTTACTGACAAAAGGTCCAGTTCTGTTTCCTCTGGAAACTGTAAAAAGAGAAGACATGGATCAGGTTCATATTATACATCTCTTCTTAATTAAAAAAAGAAAAAGAAAAAAATATATGTGCAAACATTTAAAGTTCTCTCAGAGTTGAATTTCCTCACTCTGAACTAAAAGAAAGTCATATGAAATGGCACACCAAGAAAGGAAGCAGGTCTTAACCACAGAAAGTCATACTACTGACATACTAAAAATTAGAGTGAAATATTACGTTATATAAGCTTATATCAGCCTGTTACTTAGTACATACTATGTAATTCTTTAAGCATAAGTTAAACATGCTGTGGAGACAAAGCAAATAATGTTGATCAACCATAAATCAGAAGGGCAAGAGAGCAATTAGTGATGGAAGAGCACGCAGTGTCTGTACAGAAAGTGCTTCATGATTCCGGATGCTTTTTATAGATAGCTTTTAAAAATGAGCCCCTAATGGGCTGTAGACAGATGTGCCAGTCATTATGTAATTAAAGATATCAATCAGTCCAACTTAAGAATACTATTTTTTAAGGTTAATAGTTTTTTATAAACACTATGTCACTGAGAATTGCACCAGGAGGCCATTGTATTTAAGTAGATCAAAAAAGAAACAACAATAACAACAACAAAAACACTTCCTATGATCTAATTTGTAGTCCCACTTTTGAGAGTTGCTTAAATACCCTTTGAAAATGTGATAAGCCTTTGTAAAGTGTTATATGCAAGGTAATGTAATTTATTGACGCTATTAGATACAACAAAATTAGATACACGAAAATAGAGTACTATAATAAAAATTTCAAACATGTAGAATTCAGCTTTTCCTCACTTTTTATAATATACATGTTACTTAGTAAATAAGTAGAAGATTTTATTTATCAGAACATCTTTAAAATTTACATTTTTAAAAGTAAGAATCTGTTTTATGCTTATATATATATTTTATATTTATTTTTGTTTAATCTTTCTTTTATATTTATTTTACATTTAACCATGCCTTAGTGATCTATTTTATGATTTGTGATTTTTATATACTATTTTTTACAAATAGCATACACTACTATTTAAAAATAGGACTTGAACTAATTCAAATATTAATGCCTTTAAGAATTACTTAATCATTTCAAAATATACACATAAATCAAATCATTAGTTTTACATCTGAAACTGATATAATGTTGTATGTCTCAATAAAAAAAATCGGATGGGGAAAAATCAATTAGGAGAATCCCTCAACTCAATTCTGTAAATGATTTATTTCCAAGTTCATTTTTACAAAAAAAGGACATGTTTATCAAGCTCCCTATAATCTCATAGATCTAAAACAAAATTCAGTTTTCTACATTCAGTGTAACTATGGGATATGTACTAAAACTATAGCTTAAGAGGGCAGGAAAACAAAATGTACGTGGAATAAGTGCCAATTTGTAATGTAACTTGACAGAAAATTCCTAGACAAAGGTTTATATACCTAGTGTACAGATCTATTTTTAAAATTTAATTTTACTTTCATTACTTATATTTAGGGAAAATATACAGTTCATAAAAATGTTAATTCAACTTATAAGTCCTTGTGTAGCACATTTTCCATACTGTTTTGAACATAATTTTTAAATGGATTGTTTTTATAAATGTATGTTTTATATGTATATAGTGACTCCAAAGAAATAACATTCAATGATTAATCTGTTGTTCTGAGAGAAGTTTGATTCTAGTTTCTGTTAGTTAAAATTCTTTTTTTAAAGAAAAGATTCATTTTGTGGTTGAATGTAGAGAAAAGAGATTCACTTAGGGATTAGCAAATAACTAACAGCAGTTTTTGACTTATGATTTGGTTAATCTGGTAAGCTGATTTAGTCTTTAATTTTGGAGACTCAGTAATTAATATCATACAAAGAAATACAGAACTAAAATATATTCATGCAAGAGCTTATAAAACATACATGATGAAAAAGAATTCAAACAATCTTAAAGCTTTATGTAAAATATTTTTGACGTCTGAGTTTAGTATAAAATGAGAGGAAGACATTTTGAAAGCAGATTTTCAGGGTGGTTAATTAGTTTTAAAGCAAAATTTACATTGTTCTTAATAAGTACCTGAAAATACCCTTCCCCAGGACAGCTGGATTGTGGCGTACTTCCCCATATTGTTTTTTTCAACTTAATTAAAATAATAAGAAAATATATAAAAACTCATGAAAAATAAAAAGACAATGGTTTAAAAGCAAAGAAACATTCAAAAACAAACATGTTAATGTAAATTTTTACATATATAAAATTAAATATAGCTTTTAAGCTGACCTTTTGACTTCTGGTTTCTGCTATTACCTCTATATATTCTGAACTAAAATACATAATAAGATAAATACATAAAGTATAAACATTCCACATTTACACTTGTGTAAAAGACCTAGTTTAATGTGGATTCATACTTGAAAGGAAAATTATTCAACAAAGTCTTTCCACCTAAGAGCAACCAGTACAGAATCTTTATTCTAGGTGCAAAACACGAACATGAGCAGCACGGCTCTCAAATGATAGCACAGAGGCAGTGTCCTGCTGTTTGGTAATTTAAAGGCACTTCACCCATCACCAGTGGCACTTTCATTGTAGGAATTCGTATTTTGAAACTGTGTAACTACTATAATTTCATTATTACTAAAAATTATTTGGCACTGTGTATCTCTAACAAATAATTTCTCTCTTACTGTATCTTGGATATTGAAAGTTACTCTGGGTCCAGGAGATGCTGCATCCACATGGATTTCAGGGAGCTCCTCAGTTTCTCCTATTCGAGAACTGGAAGTAAAATATAAAGTTATAAAACATTAATAATAGTCTTTTTAAAAAAAGTCCCTGGACTTAATGAAAGTCTAGCAAATGACAGTAACATTCTAAATATTTCTAAATATTTACCTTATCCAAGGATTAAATTTTTGGTATCCCATTTCTGAATCTTTAGCATCCCATAAAAAAAAAAAACACTGAATATTTTAATTAATGTGAGATTTTCTGAAACTAAACCATATAAAAGAATTTATACTTCTTACTTTAAGTGCTCATTAATTAGTAAGACAGTATTTTTCTCTAATATGTAGAATTTCCATTTTTTTATATGCTAAATATGTAGTCACACCTTTTCTAAAATGGCAAACTTACAGCAGCAGCTACTAATTTGCCCATACTCATTTCCTTGGATAGTCTGTAAGTTTACACATAAGCTTGTCTAAATAGCAATGTACTTCTTTACTAAAAAGTACACGGTGATTCTGGTATAAATAGAGGAATTCCTCAAATAAACTTTTTAGTTTGACAGTATCCATTATTACCAGTATTTGACTAATAAGTTTCATTTTTACTCCCTTATGTAATTTCCCCAATTAGAACATAATAAATAAGTAGTGGACCTTCATAAAGGAGTCAGCAATTTTATTACTTGTTTCAGTAGTGGAAATATATATTACCTTGCCCTTTCCATTCGTTTAAGAGGAGGTCTTCCAGAAGCAGAAATGCTTTTTGAACGGCTATAACTTGGTTTGTAACCCAAACCCCACTTATCCTTTAGAGAAGCAGCCTAATGAAATGGGAGAGGAAGAGTGACTTTAGACAGTTGCTTATGTCATAATATCTGACTACAGATAAAATATTCTATCAACAAAATAGTGTTTCCCCCAAGTCAATAACATGTTACTTTAAATTTGACTTTAAATATCACTTAACAGTATATAGATGGATCAAAGTAGAGCAGGGCTCTGCTACTTTTTAGTCCTAATGTCAATTAGAAGGGCTGTACAATGGAAATACAATTCACCGTCTGGCCTGAGAGAGAAAAGAAAAAGATTGGGAGCAGGCATGAGGGGTACAGAAATAAGGTGAGAAGAAAGGAAACAAAAAGGAAAGAAAGGCAAAAGAAAATGAGAATTAAAAGGAAAGATTCTGGGAGAAAGCTGGGTGGTGGGAGGAGGTGAAAGGGAGATCAGAGGAGAGCAGGAGGGAGAGAGGGAGAGGCTGGGGTGGGAGGGGCATCGATCATCTCAAGTACCACCCACGGGCACCCCTGCCACGGCACTCCATTACAGGAAAGGAAAGGAAGGGGTGACCTCAACACTCTACTTGTCTCCAAATCTCTCTTCTCCAAATGTGTAGTTGGGGGCTAGATAATGAAAAGATTCCAAGACAATGGAGATTTGGAATGCGAGAGGACTGAGGGGGAAGTGAGGGGGGAAAGACAGATGAGATACATGCTAAGAACACTGATAAAACTTCGAGAATTTCCCTAATTCTCTCTACCTAGATTTTATTTTTAGCAGACAATTACCAAGTATAAACTACCTTATAAATAGTACATAAGCAGTATTTTAATTCTATTGTATGATTGTTAGGTATATAGTAGCAAAAATTTTAAACACAGACTTATGCATTACAGATCATCACTATCCATTTATTACCATCAGAAGCCAGGGATGAATAACTCATATTGGATTTTATCTTCTATTTGAATAAATAATTTAGAACAGTATTCAAACTAGGGGTCTGGGAGTTTGGGGTGATCAAGAAAGTTCAAGCCAATGAACCCTGGATCCCCGCAACCTTTCCCCCCTTCCTCTGGCCCAACCAGCTCTGATTTAATGTTTTTTATGTATTAGGGTGCCACCAAAAAATGAAGGGTTCTGTTGATTATTTAAAAAAAAAAAAATAAGGTTAAGAACCTATCTTTTTTGAAAAAAGTAGTTTTTCCACTAACAAGACCACCTTGATCCAAGGAAACCTACCTCCATTTAAATACATTTTAGAACTATTTTCTACTATATGTTTATAGAATATCTATCTACATATTTATTTCACTTGTTCAGCAATTGGACTAAATCCCAAAAAATGTGGTAGGAAATGGGGTCAAAGATAAATAACTTGTTATTTATGAGACTCAAATTCTAGTTAGGACAACTAAATGTGCAAAGAAAAGAGAATGAAGTGCTGAGAGTACATAGTGGCTGAGAGGTAAAGTCAGCTTTGGAAAATGGGATAGGAGTAAAATGGGCATCTCAAAAGACTCATACTGAGATACAGACTGAAAAGAAAGTGTGGTTTTATGAAAGGTGGACAAAAGACAGTGGCTAAGGACAGACTGTAGAGTCCCACTGTTTGGGTTTAATCTTGGCTCCACCAAGATTGATAGCTGTATAACCTTGGTCAAATTATTTGACTTCTCTCTGTCTCAGTTTCCTCATTTTTAAAATGGGGAAAATAATACAAGCTACTTCATAAGGCTATTGTAAAGATTTAATGGGTTGTTAAATGTAAAGTGCTTTAAACAGTGCCTAGTACATAGTAGATATGAGATGTACAAATCAAGTGGTTACTATCACCAGCAATGGAGAAAGAAAGAGAACTTCAGTATGGTCACAAAGTCTCATAAAGTAAAAAATAAAAGAATGGTCTACTCCAATAATAAAATTCTTCTTCTTTTTTTTTTTTTTTATTAAGATTTTTTATTTATTTATTTGAGAGAGAGAGAGAGAGCACAAGAGGGGGGAGCGGGAGAGGGAGAAGCAGACTCCCTGCTGAGCAGGGAGCCCAATGCGGGACTCGATCCTGGGACTCCAGGATCATGACCTGAGCCGAAGGCAGTTGCTTAACCAACTGAGCCACCCAGGCGCCCTCCAATAATAAAATTCTTCTTAAATGTTTACTCACTCGCATACTCGACCTCCGTAATTTCTTACGAACGTCTCTTCGAATATCATTCACAGCAACAGATTCTAACTGTTGATAACGCTGAATTTCCTGGTTTATGGTTCCTTCACTTGCACCTAATTTTCTGGATGCAAAACAAATATGGCAATTAGTGTAAAGAGGTAACAGAGTAAGAATGATTTATATTTGCTCCACAGAATATCAAAGATTATATATGGACAGGCCAAAATCCTCCATAACTTTTAACACCTTGGTGATCTCATTTATAAATTAAAAGGGTTGTACTAGCCCAAATCCAGTTTTCTCCATATTTAAAATTCTATGATTCTATTATTAAAAAATATTATATTAAAAATCATTACACATACTTA